ACATATACAAAAGTTTTAATTCTTTGCTAACACAAACCCATAATTTTTTTTAGCAAATGGTTAGTTTTACTGGCACATAGAAACCAAAACTCTTGTAAAATACTATTTTTGAAAATTGGAATTTGGAGGGAAAGCAGTGTTTTATTCATGTTTATGAATAATATTTAAAATTTCTCTTAACTGTTAATCTTTTCAGAATAATGTAAGCATCCACTTCATTTGAACTCTGGTGGATAGTTGTCTCTTTGGCAATCATACCACATCTCCTTATTTTTATAATGAATGTAAAAGTGGTATGTCAGGGGACTCAAGCCACACAAAAAATGTAATACATATTATAGCTAATTCATTGATATACATACCACCATGTAATGATTCTGATTAATAAAACTGTTTACTTGCAAATCAAACATTGCTCAGTAATAATACCCCCACATTCCCACATAAGTATTAGGTAGATACATGTAGTTAGTTGGTGAGCAATGGATGTGATAACTCATTACAGGGAATAACATGATTACATGAAGCTTGATATCAAATTTTAGTTAGCTCTGATTTGCAATTTCATGAAACTTTCAATATTGATGGACAGGTTGATAAAGGTAAACCAGTATACCTCCCTCCTTTGTCTTACTGTAAATATTGTAATGCAATCTTTGACATTTATTTCTTCACAACAACTTTGTAAACTACAAAGGACAGTGCATTTTCAGAAATCCAAATTTTTTCAAAAGAACAGGTTTTGTAAATAAAACAAACTGTAAGATTAAAGTATTTAAACACTAATATTAAACATAAATACATAAAATTTCTAAATTATTCTACCTGTATGCAATAATATTTAACTAATTTTAAAGCAGGTTTCTTGATTTCATCTAAAATATTCTGAGCCTCTTCTCTGGAAAAATTTGACAGGACATTTACCAATTCACCAAGAACTATTGGAATTTTTATATTTATAAAGGCAGCAGCTAAGGCACTCTGAAAATAAAAAACAATTGAATTAAAATTGAGAATGAAAATGGGGAATATGTCAAAGAGACAACAACCCGACCAAAGAGCAGACAACAGCCAAAAGGCCACCAATGGGTCTTCAACGCAGCGAGAAAATCACGCACCCAGAGGTGGTCCTCAGCTGGCCCCTAAATAAAATTGTGTACTAGTTCAGTGAAAATGGACGTCACACTAAACTCCAAAACATATAAATGAACTAAAATTAAAAAACATACAAGACTAACAATAGTTTACTTATATTATACTTCACCTGATATTAATAAAAAGGATGACATCCCTTGCTGAACTACAGAAGTGTTTTTTTTTTAGTTCAATGCTGTGTCTTGATAAGTTGGCAATATTTTTCTCATGATTATTCTGACTACATGTAAAAACCTTTTTTTTTTGCCAAAGTACATGACTAATGACTCAAGTTTGTATATGAAATGTCAAAACATAAACTCTGTCTATGTCATGGTAAGTTCATGTATAGCTGTGTTTGCAATAGTTTTAAAAATTTTTTTGGAACCTATTGCATTGAACCTTTCAAAATGATGCTCCTGAGAAATAAATATTAGTTCATTCACATTTAAACTATTCCTATAATTAAATGCTAAACGTTTGCAGTTTGTAAACTTGAAAAAAGGAGACTATATCAAGTTTGTATATGAAATGTCAGAAGAACATAAATTAAATTATGACTATACAATGAATGGAAAATAATCTTTGGCTTAAATGATGCATTTCTTTCAATTGGCACAATAAACAACAATATAATATCTTTCAGCATTGGCAAACATGTTGCACAAAAATATCCCTTTATGTCTTTAAAATATGCAATTCTCATTAAATTTCAGCATTTGCAAAACTATGTGATCAATTATTCATATCTCATCTATAAATGTACAATTACTTACTATTATTGCTGCTATTAAATACCCTAATTCTGGAACTAATAATTTAAAAAATCCTGACCAATCAAATTTAGCATCACTCTTTACATCTGCATTATCTAAATGGTCCAGTCTTGATTTGATCACATTTGTTTTACAATGTGCCACTGGACAGTGTTTTATAGCCATTGTTACACAACCACACATTCCTGAAAGTCCTAAAATCCATTTTGTGGATCTCTGGGAAGTTTTCTTTGATGATGAATTTAATGCTGTGTTAAAATGGGTCCTAAGTTTTATTTTACATGTTTCTATGTTCCTTCCAAGTGCCAAATTTTGGTTACATCTGTTGAGGATCCTATGAAAAGATTAAGATTTACAACGTTTTATGTTTAACAATCATTTGTAAAATACTTAAACAGAACTTTGCGTAAACAAATATACTGTATTTTGTATTTGGCTAATTTTTATTACTCTGACAAATATAACGCAACAGTTCTGCGGTAGTTCATCAATGTTCAAAACTAAAAAAAACACTAGTAGAAGAAGACCGTTTGCGTCGAAATGTTAAGCATCTCCTGTTATGTTGCTACCACAACTTTTTTACTGTTCATTCCTTACCACCACTCTTGCACGGGATCAGAAGTGATCTGCTTAAAAGTTTTGGTCCTTACCAAATGTCTCTTTATTTTCCACAATATTATTGTAAAGAAGACAGTTTACTTAAGATGGCTCAGCCAGTATGAGTAACACACATACAGGGTAACAAAGACGTTTAAACACATGTAAATTCAAAAACATAAAGAAATAGCAGGGAAAAAGTGTGTGTGTACATGACCACTGTGTCATGTAGCAGACCCAGGTAATTTGGCAAGACAGGATTATCTCAATTCATCATGTTCATAAAAACTTCTCTCCAACCAAGGTTACAATTTAGCCCCATTAATCACAATGGAGCAAATGTGATTTCTGTATTCAAATAAAGTGATGTCTATCTGCTACATGTATTTCTAGGAAACATATTGGGAAATCTAATTAGAAATATCATACATAATTTTTCTGTTTAATTGAGAAATTTATTACATGTTGTCATTTTTAATCAAAATTTCTTTTTTTTAAACAATTTGAACTTTATCTGAATAATTCTCTAGTCACCCCTCTATTCTTATGAAAATAATAAATTATAATAGACAGGCAGGCCTAATAAGTAGCATGAACCACACACAGAAACCATACATGTTTAAAAAAAAATAACAGCAGAACTGGGGATACAATACATCAACATAGCTGTAAGCAACATTATCAATACAACTGGATGGCCTAAAATCAGTATAGCCACTTTTAAAACTAGAAGCAGTCGTTTATTTCATCAACCAAATGGAAAGGATGATCTGAACCACTTCAACCTCAATCTTAAGAGCAGGCAAACCAAAAAACTCAGAGAGAAGATTGAGAATTGAGAAACTACTGAAATCATCCCTTCAAAAATTTTAAGGATGCCATCACAAATTGGTTGACTGCAATGGAATCTCTGTTTCACAGATGATGATGGATATGTTCTAGTCGTCATAACTACAATCCTGTCCTCCTTTTCCTCAAATGTGACCTCCCGAATTAGACTTATCACCTGGTTTGAACTAAAATGAGCAACATGGTGCATGCTACATGTGGAGCAGGATCTGCTTACCCTTCTGGAGCATCTGAGATCATCCCCTTTTTCGGTGGGGTTTATGTAGCTCAGTCTTTATTTTTCTATACATGTATTGTGTTTTGTATACTGTTATTTGACTTTCTGGTCCCTTCTTCTTTTTTTGCCATTGCATTGTCAGTTTGTTTTCGACTTATGAGTTTGAACTTCCCTTTGGGATCTTTTGCCTATCTTTTACTAGTATTGATAGGTTTTGATATGATGTAATTTCAGTTTGAGTTATTTCCCTTGGCCGCCATTTTGGAGGGGGAAATGGTTGATGACTTTTTTTTTTGACTATAGTAACCAAATTGAAACATGCAGTACAAATAAGTCTGATAAGAGATCCTTACTACATTAGATCCTAGCGATTAAATCAAGCAAGGCTAAAAGAAATTAAAATTTTCAGAAAACAATCTTTCCTAAAACTATACATTGAATTTGGCTGATTTAAGAAGAAACTTCTGCATATAGACCGCCAAAATGACGAGAAAACTCTTGCTCAAATTGTGGCAATCAAAACCTTTCTATTGTAAGCTTAAGGCTGTATGGCATGATGGATAAGAGCAAGAAAACATTCAATAAGGTAAAATATTATAAAGTCCTCAATCAACATTACGAAAATCAGTTAATAAAAAATAGATATACTGAAGCTAAGAATCCCAAATCCTTCAATTGTTTTAACAACGTCTGCACTTGAGCATATCCTTGTACTACATGTACTATGGGTTTTCGTGCTTTTTAGAATGCATTGTGCCGTCACATTTTCAATTGAAAAAGCATGCATAGTACCAATTCATATGACGTACGTAAACATATGATTATTACAATAATTTTCCTGTTGACAGATGCTGCCATGTTGTAAACTAAAACGGTTAAACCCCATAGAATTTCTGGCAAATTTGTATAACAGAGTACCAAAAAGTATCATTAACATAATACAGATTTCATTCTCTTTACAGGAAACACCTGTCTCAGATCAAAGAATTTTAAATAAACTTAGAAAAAGATCATCAAATTAGGGGGGTCCATGTCCAAAGTGCCACTGTTGGAAAGTAAGTTAAAGTATTGGCCAAGGTTAAAGACATAGCGTATGACCCAAAGTTTGCCATTTACAAAATATGTGTTTTACCTAAATGCAAATGGTTTGCCGAATGATCTTTGTATTTGAACGAAAACCATTTTGCACTCATTCAAATAAAAAAATCAAAATTTCTGAATTTTTATATTTTCTATGGGGGCAGCCATGTTTATAAAGTGTGCACGTAAAGTTTCGTATTATCCTTGATATATATCATAATTGTACAAGAGAACTTTTAAAATGTGTCTTTATAATATTAAGTGATTAAAATGATTAATAGATAACTGATTAGGCCTTAATCACATGAAAATGCTATCGGATGATTTACTTTCGTAAGATAAGATATTTAACTTCCGGTTTCACAATCGTTTGATTTGTTGTGAAGTATCCAATCAAGCATTTAAGTTTCCTGATATTTGAGATGAACGAAAGTTCTAAAGAAAAATCGAAACAAACGACGATGGGAAATTACTTTACACGTCAATCTAAAGATAAAGAAAAAGACAAGAAAGAAAAAATGGAAGAAGATAAACCCACAAATTATATTGATAGGGTACATAAATTTTTTACTTTCGTTTTCCTCAAATTGCAATTAGTCATATTTTGTTCAAGTTTTAAGGTTCACTAAGTATGCAGCTGATATCAACCAGAAAAATAACCCCAATTTTATTCATTTATCTTGCTAGTAATAAGAGGCAGATGCTCAGGGGCTCGTATCATAGACATTTTTGGTCTATAGCATGCACATGTTTCAAACCCATAAACATCAATGACACAATTACAAACTTCTTTGACAGGTGTTACAGGTTAAAAGCTCATTACTAAATTTCTCAAAATTTAGATTGATAAAATAATTAGGAATGTAATTACTCAGGCCATCAATTATTTTTTTTCTTCGTATAATGATGTTACAGAAATGATTTAAAAAATAATTAGCATATTTTTGAGTGGAAATACCCTAGTCATTGGCCCTATGTGTGTAGCCTGAACAATAAAACAATAAAAGACCAAATTTGCCTTATAAATCATAAATTTCTTGCATAATCTGAATTATGATTTACATGTATTCTGTTGACCCGTAAATTGAAATACAGAAATGTCCCTGATGTAGGTCATACATTTAATACTTTAACATGCTTAATTAAAAATCTTATAATTTATAATAATTATACCTGAAAATGATGAAGAGGCATGTAGGTGTGTTGTGAATCAGTGTTGAAGTTGAACAAAAATCTGCATTATTTATCAGATAAATTTTCCCTGAAGACTCATTTTGTTGGGTTGTTCTAAAATAAGAAACGAAATGGAAATGCTATTTAACAAAACAAAACAAAAATGAAATGACTAATTGAAATGAAATGAAATATGTGACATTTGATATCTAGATAACTACAAAAAGGTCTCAAACGTAAATGGAATGTGACTTGATGATACTCCAAGAATTTAATGACTTGCAGTCAAACTCTTTCTTAGGTCACACATTTCTAATAAGTTTGAACCTTAAAACAAACTGAGAAACGAAATATTTCTAGGACAGACAAACTAAACTTTTAAAGAACAAATCTCATTCTGTTATGTTAACAAAATATAAAAACAAAATACTTTAGTGATTTACAGCTCCAAGCTCAGTCACACACAATCCTGAGAAATTCTAAGGTACTGAAGGTGTAAAAAGCACACTTAATAAAAGTACTGACAATAGGAATTAGGATTATCATTCTATTATTCTCTCAGGCCTCTACAATAACTTTTTTTTCAACTTGTCCAGTAGGACAAGTACATACCAAAACTTACTTGTCCGAATGAAATTGTAACTTGTCCAAAAACAATCTTATTGATAACCGTTTTTATACGACCGCAAAAATTGAAAATTTTTTGGTCGTATATTGGTATGACGTTGGCGTCGTCGTCGTCGTCGTCGTCGTTGTCGTCGTCGTCTGGCGTCGTCCGGCGTCGTCCGAAGACACATTGGTTTTCGCACTCTAACTTTAGTTTAAGTGAATGGATCTCCATGAAATTTTACCATAAGGTTCAATACCACGAAAGGAAGGTGGGGATTGATTTTGGGGGTTATGGTACCAACAGTTAAGGAATTAGGGGCCAAAAAGGGGCCAAAAATAAGCATTTTTGTAACTTCCAGACAATAACTTGTGTGTAAGTGTATGGATCTCTCTGACATTGTACCACAAGGTTCCATATCACAAAGGGAAGGCTGTAATTGATTTTGGGGGTAATTGCCTCAAAATTTTAGGAATTAGGGGCCAAAAAAGGGGCAAAAAACAAGCATTTTTCTAGTTTCAGGACAATAACTTGTGTGTAAGTGTTTGGATATTTCTGAAATTGTACTACAAGGTTCCATATCACAAAGGGAAAGCTGGAATTGAGTTTGGGGGTAATTGCCCGAAACGTTTAGGAATTGGGGGCCAAAAAGGGGCCAAAAATAAGCATTTTTCTAGTTTCCAGACAATAACTTGTGTTCAAGTGTATGGATCTCTCTGAAATTGTACTGCAAGGTACCATACCACAAAGGGAAGGCTGGGATTGAGTTTGGGGGTGATGAATCATAAGGGGGTTCAAAAAATTTGGGGGGGGGGGGATTTTTTTTTCCTTTTTTTTTTCTTTTAAAATTTTCCATTTTGAGTTGGTTATTTCTGATTAATATTTAAAAGCAAATAATAATGATATGGTAGGAGATACACACCAAACAGGATGTGTAAATTATTATATAATAAGTATTGTGCAATAGCAAGAAATTTTCAATTGCACAGTATTGCACAATTGCAAGAAATCTTCAATTGCACAGTATTGCGCAATAGCAAGAAATCTTCTATTGCGCAATAGCAAGAAATATCCAATAGCACAATATTGCGCAATAGCAAGAAATTGTCAATTGTACAGTATTGCACAATAGCAAGAAATATTCAATTGCACAGTATTGTGCAAAAGAAGATACTTCGTATAAATTGCTTATTTCTTGATCAATTTCAATGGGGTTTTATTCTTGAATTCTTGGGGTTCTTTAATATGCTGAATCTAACCGTGTATTAAGTTTTTGGATTTTGGGCCCCGTTTTTAAATTGGTCCACATTGAGGTCTAAAGGGTCCAAAATTTAACTTTGTTTGATTTCATCAAAAATTGAATTATTGGGGTTCTTTGATATGCCGAATCTAACCGTGTATTTAGATTCTTAATTTTTGGTTCCGTTTTCAAATTGGTCTAGATTAAGGTCAAAAGGGTCCAAAATTAAACTTAGTTTGATTTTAACAAAAATTGAATTTTTAGAGTACTTTGATATGCTGAATCTAAACATGTATTTAGATTTTTGATTATGGGCCCAGTTTTCAAGTTGGTCCAAATCGGGGTCCAAAATTAAACTTTGTTTGATTTCAACAAAAATTGAATATATGGGGTTCTTTGATATGCTGAATCTAACCATGTATTTAGATTTTTGATTTTTGGGCCCCGTTATCAACTTTGTCCACATTGAGGTCAAAAGGGTCCAAAATTAAACTTTGTTTGATTTCATCAAAAATTGAATTCTTGGGGTTCTTTGATATGCTGAATCTAACCATGTATTTAGATTTTTTGTTGTGGACCCGCTATCAAATTGGTTCATATTGAGGTCAAAAAGGTCCAAAATTAAACTTTGTTTGATTTCATCAAAAATTGAATTATTGGGGTTCTTTGATATGCCAAATCTAACCGTGTATTTAGATTTTTAATTTTGGGTCCCGTTTTTAAATTGGTCTACATTAAGGTCCAAAGGGTCCAAAACTAAACTTAGTTTGATTTTAACAAAAATTGAATTCTTGGGGTTCTTTGATATGCTGAATCTAAACATGTGTTTAGATTTTTGATTATGGGCCCAGTTTTCAAGTTGGTCCAAGTTGGGGTCCAAAATTAAACTTTGATTGATTTCAACAAAAATTGAATATATGGGGTTCTTTGATATGCTGAATCTAAACATGTATTTAGATTTTAGATTTTTGGCCCAGTTTTCAAGTTGGTCCAAATTGGGGTCCAAAATTAAACTTTGTTTGATTTCAACAAAAATTGAATATATGGGGTTCTTTGATATGCTGAATCTTACCATGTATTTAGATTTTTTATTTGTGGGCCCACTATCAAATTGGTTCATATTGAGGTCAAAAGGGTCCAAAATTAAACTTTGTTTGATTTCATCAAAAATTTAATTATTGTGGTTCTTTGATATGCCAAATCTAACCGTGTATTTAGATTTTTAATTTTGGGTCCCGTTTTTTAAATTGGTCTACATTAAGGTCCAAAGGGTCTAAAATTAAACTTAGTTTGATTTTAACAAAAATTGAATTTTTGGGGTTCTTTGATATGCTGAATCTAAACATGTGTTTAGATTTTTGATTATGGGACCAGTTTTCAAGTTGGTCCAAGTTGGGGTCCAAAATTAAACTTTGTTTGATTTCAACAAAAATTGAATATATGGGGTTCTTTGATATGCTGAATCTAAACATGTATTTAGATTTTAGATTTTTGGCCCAGTTTTCAAGTTGGTCCAAATTGGGGTCCAAAATTAAACTGTGTTTGATTTCAACAAAAATTGAATATATGGGGTTCTTTGATATGCTGAATCTTACCATGTACTTAGATTTTTTATTTTGTGGGCCTGCTATCAAATTGGTTCATATTGAGGTCAAAAGGGTCCAAAATTAAACTTTGTTTGATTTCATCAAAAATTGAATTATTGGGGTTCTTTGATATGCCAAATCTAACCGTGTTTTTAGATTTTTATTTTTGGGTCCTGTTTTTTAAATTGGTCTACATTAAGGTCCAAAGGGTCCAAAATTAAACTTAGTTTGATTTTAACAAAAATTGAATTTTTGGGGTTCTTTGATATGCTGAATCTAAACATGTGTTTAGATTTTTGATTATGGGACCAGTTTTCAAGTTGGTCCAAGTTGGGGTCCAAAATTAAACTTTGTTTGATTTCAACAAAAATTGAATATATGGGGTTCTTTGATATGCTGAATCTAAACATGTATTTAGATTTTAGATTTTTGGCCCAGTTTTCAAGTTGGTCCAAATTGGGGTCCAAAATTAAACTTTGTTTGATTTCAACAAAAATTGAATATATGGGGTTCTTTGATATGCTGAATCTTACCATGTACTTAGATTTTTTATTTTGTGGGCCTGCTATCAAATTGGTTCATATTGAGGTCAAAAGGGTCCAAAATTAAACTTTGTTTGATTTCATCAAAAATTGAATTATTGGGGTTCTTTGATATGCCAAATCTAACTGTGTTTTTAGATTTTTATTTTTGGGTCCTGTTTTTTAAATTGGTCTACATTAAGGTCCAAAGGGTCCAAAATTAAACTTAGTTTGATTTTAACAAAAATTGAATTTTTGGGGTTCTTTGATATGCTGAATCTAAACATGTGTTTAGATTTTTGATTATGGGACCAGTTTTCAAGTTGGTCCAAGTTGGGGTCCAAAATTAAACTTTGTTTGATTTCAACAAAAATTGAATATATGGGGTTCTTTGATATGCTGAATCTAAACATGTATTTAGATTTTA